ATATTTAAGAAAACAAAAGGTACGTTTGCCGTTTCTATGACATTTTAATCTTCGTTTAATCCTCATATGTTTAAACATTAACTAAGCTTATAATCATTCTTCTGTTGTATTTTGTCTTTATTATACAAAGGTTTTATTTATTTATTATTTATTTACAAACTATCAATGTATAATTAGTAATTCTTAGAGAACTATTATTTCTCATATTTCCGTCATAGAAAATAAAAGAAACCTTACATTGTTTTCATTTGTTTGTTGTTGGGTGGGAATCTTAAGGTAACAAATTCTGTTTAAGAATATATATATATAAAGTTTTATTTGTAAGACACTTTGGAAATTGTTACATTTTCAAGTGATTAAAATGAAATCCAACAGTATAATAACATATGCTCACTAGTGACTGGCTTCATGAGGAATTTCCTGGAGTTCTGGTGCGAAACCGTGATCGATGGAGTTCAACCGGGTCTGTTGAGATCTTAACTCACTGATGGATGTGACGCTTAATTTCGCGGATTAGTTAAAGTTAGACATTAACACCGTTGGATACCGGCCGGCTCAGTGATCTAGTGGTTAAGCGCACGCGCGCGAGACTAATAGGTCCTGGGTTCGAGTCTCGCGGGGTGGGATCGTGGATACACATTGCTTAGGAGTCCCACAATAGGATGAAAAAGCCGTCCAGTGCTTACAGGTTTCCTATGGTGGTCTAGATTCAAGTGACTCATGATCTCAACTATTTTAATTAGTATAATGTATTTTGAATTGGATCTTGTTAGCTAGATGTTTCTACATCCCACTATTCACGTTCATATTAAGGAACCCAGTAGCTTTTTTTTTAAATACCAACACGCTATTTACTCAAACCCTGAGTTCGGGTAATCATTAGTTTGTGAAATCGGTATGAATTTATTTATGTTGGCTTCTTCTGGTTACTGGTTATTTAGATAAGTTCATTTTTACGAGGGTTTTGGACTAGTAGTAGCTTTAGTGTGTTACCAGATGAAGTTGTGTGCGAAAGTTAAGACTCAAATGTTCATTTCAATTTCAACAAAGAACTTGTTAGCCTTTTGAGACTGACTTTTATTGATATACTTTTTGTAAATCTGGCAAGGACAAAATTACTGCATAATATCATGGGAGACTACATTCTACGTATGGATTACTAATGATGCGTTCATTTTGTGTGACAACATAAATCTTGAATATTCTAATATCAATTTTATAATGGACCGTGAAATAAATCATATGCATACTCTTGTATTGTTTTGGGAATTTCCGAAGGAAGTGATTGTATATTTCAAAGTTATATCTATAGAAATAAAATTGAAGTGAACAGTATTTATACTTTCACAGTTTTGTCCGATTATTTACAAAGATGAACTTTTAAAATTGCTTTTTTACAGATCTAGAAATATAGGTTTTGACAGATAAGCTTTAAGGGAAGTGGATGAGACTATAATTTATGGACGACCTATGAGCAACTTTAAAATGACTTGGATTGTCCATATACTTACTGGGAACAAATGAGTGTTTTATATTAGTTTAAGAAATTATAATTAAGATTTACAGTTGAACGCTAGGGTAAGAAACTAGGTTCAATGTTTTCATCGCGAACTGACATCAGTTATAATGCCAAAATGGTGAATGAATTTGGCGCCAAAATAAAAGATCTGCTATCTTAGGTCTGGTTGGTTCGTTTATAAATTTCAGTCTCTCCCACAACATAAAGAATAGTATTGACAACTATAAAACAAAAAATTTATTCGTCTAATGAAACTTCAAATGTGATCAAGCTGAGAAAATTATTCAAAGACTTAATGCAACTCTAAATAGCATGTTTCCCGCATTATAGTAGATACCAGTATGCACAACACGATACCCAGTAAGGTGAATAAAAGTAGACAAATACTCATATAATGTCATCACTTGAATTACCAAATTATACGTATGTACGGAAGCAGTTACCTTGGAAGAACGGATATCAATGTCGACAACTACGCTCTTTATTTAAAATAAACCTATGAACCTTTATATAAGCGAGGAAACCAGTAATCACAGGTTAATTGTAGACCGCCAGTTAGACACGAAAAACGAGATGTATATGATCTACATAATTAAACTAACTAATAAACAGTACAACTGTATACTACTAGGATTAACATATGCTATAAGCAGTTAGGAATTTAAAACTTGACCTTTGTATTTAAAATTAATCTACGGTTAACATCCAACTACCTTGGGAACAGAAAAAAACAATGTTAACCATTTGATTTTCATTACTCATGAAGTCATGATTACTATTCAATGAGTTCAAATCAATTTTCTGTTTTAGCTTCGCTATATTCTGAATGAATCCCTTTCTATATTACGTAATATTATTGTAAAATTATCACTGTAATAATTAATTCAAATACTCTTTAAAATATTTATTACAATTTACCCCTCTTAACAATTTTAGTGATGACAACTCACTTTTAAAAAAAAATCAACAAATTCCGTATTGTCATTTTAAACCAACAAAACTTATTAGGAAACATAAAGAGTAATAAAGTCATCATATACTTGTTTCGTTTAAATTTGTATGGGTAACTAAATGCAAGAATTAATGATTATGAGTTAAATCATTGTAAAGAGGCTGCAAATGTGTTTATGACAATGACTTATCAGGTCATCAAGAACTTCATCAAGAATACAGTGTCAAAATAGTTTTTTTTTTCATTTGTAACATTAATATACTTGAAAGTATTGGAACTTATAAATACAAATATATCTTATGTGACCGATCACTCTCTTTCATTCTCTCTCATTCACTCACTCTCTCACATTGAAAGTGATCATCAACAGAGCTACGATAGAATGATACAAGGTCATATCAATTCAGATCAATATCCCCATCTCAAAAGAATTATTATCGTTTTCATCAAAGAACGCGTTTCATAATACAGATAATTACTTATTAGAGTTAACAGAACTAAATCAGCTTATAAGTCTTATTACTGATAACCAATAAGCTGATATTTTATGACGTTATTCAAATTTCAAAAACAACTGGTGATACTATACTACTACTGAAAAGTAGAGAGGGAATGGACAGTTGTTTCATCTTAGGATGAGCCTTGTCAGCTGTATACGTATATATGCAGAAAGGAATAAGAAAGATGACCACATGGAGTAACATGATACACTATAATCATAGTTATCATTTACATGCTTTAATAAGAATAATTTTTAGCCTGTTCAGCAGCATCGCTATAGGTTAGTAGAGTTAACCGGTGGTTGAGCACACAAAATATATATCACAATATAGTAATTAGAGGCAATTGAATTAATATGTTAAGAATTCCCGTATTACTCCAATTTAAGTCAGATAGAACCCAATGAGTACAACCAAATATATTATATTTGTGATTCAAATTACAGAGGAATGACCAATTAGTACAAATAATAAACTCAAACACATCAGTCAATAAAGATTCACTACTTTGTTAATAGATTTGCCATTTTTACCTAGATCCATATGTTAAACATCAGCATTATTCCCTCGATGGTACAAAAATATGTAAGTAATGCTTGGAAGACGTCCATGACCAAATTATATACATAATATACCAAATAGGTTTAATGGCCACAAAATAGAACAGAATAAACTATCACAGAGTGTACTTGCCTTCTCAAGCAACCACATGTGACAAAAGATAGCGAAAGCTAAGAGAGGTTCCTGAATTCGTGCTGAGATTTTATGGTTTGTGCTAGATAGATAATAGTGAATGGTCTTCCAAAAAAACAATTTCAAAAGTCTATTATTCTAAATAATCTTCAACTCATACTAAATCACACAGGTTCCGTGTAAGCCATAAACGTTCACTCTATCATAATAATCTAGTCTACGAGTTGTATGTATTCTAGAAATAAACTTTTATGTACAATTTACATAAGGTGATAGACTTTTCAAAACGTGAACGGGTATTCTTCAGTCGTTGACAACATTGTACCCGTATTGCAAATCTCGAAATCCTTTAAGATTTCATGAAGGATACTATTATTACTACCCTTATTATTATTAGAGTGCCTATCAAGGAGGGAACAATTAGTTTTCGTGATTTTCGTTTATCTACAATTTCAATTTGTTACTAAGCAGTAGTTCATCCGGTACTGTGTTCTCTAAAATGATTAGTTTTTAGTGATATGAAGGGACATGATGCTGTCATTATATCAAACTCCGTGATTTCATAATAATCTCGTTCATTTTCATTCATAACATAAAAAAAGTCAATAATTATTTTATAAACTGAACCGTGTAGTTTTATTATTTTTTGTTACGATAACTTCACTCAATAATATTCATGATGCCAAATAAAGTGATTTCTGTCATTAACTGGTTAAAATGTGTAGTGATATTTTCAACCATACCAGGACGAAACGGCCGTCCAGTGCTTCCAGGTTTTCAATGGTGGTCTAGCTTCAACTGACTCATGATTTCAACTTGTGAAATTTCTTAAACTCTCCACAAAAAACCCATTCAAATACTATAATCTGAAGATCTGACAAATGGCAACATTTTCAAACAAGCAGTATAGTATATTTCGTATATGTCTGAAACCTTTGCATATCCTAATTTTTTGCATCATTAATGACATTCATTTTAAATTGTTTATCTTATTGGTTGAAAAATCTAACTAGTTGTCATTGGAAAATGATAACCTTGGATTAATACTTTAAACTAGGGCAGATAGATTACCTTAATTGTCCTCTGCTCTAATCATCCCCTCAGTGAGTCATTCTTCACGTGGCCTAGGGTTGATTATGAGAAAGTGGATAGACATTGTCTGCATACTATCACTAGTTAGACGGTTATAATCAATAGACATTTAAAATCAATGATTTTTTTTCATCGAATCAAATACGAAAACGGTTTATTTATCATTGACCAATAGAAAGCTTTAAAAAAACCCTACCTATCCGAGTGTAGCCATTTATAATCAAGCAAAAATTCATATATTCTCATAATATTAAGTTAAGACAACGTAGGATGACCACTGGGACGGCGCAGTGTGATTGTATTCTCGACTTTTATTCAAATAATATTGCAAGCCAAATAAATCAGTGTAATCCGGATTATTCTTGTAATATCAATCATCATAGAGATGATAACACATGTAATTGGAATATTGACTATCCTAAGAAATTCTCAAGTTGGCATTATTCAAGAAATTATCATGAAACATCATTCCCTAGGTATGGATTTAGCGTATAATTTTTCTTGTTAAAGTTACACGAAGAATTCATGTTTTATATTTTTAATTCATGTATCCTGATGATTCTTTATTTAAAGAGAAATCAATTTCTCAGAGCAACTTATGTTTCAATTATTTTTAAATGTAAAATGTAGAGTGTAATTGAATTTCGAGAACCATCATGGCCACCAGATGTCCTGGTACGGCGGAGGATGGGGAGAGTTAGGTCTCCCTATCGAAATTCTCTCACATGACCACTCCTACACAGTTACCGACAGGAAAGTTCTACTCAATGCCTTCTCGCTGTTGAGGTGTTGCTTACGAAATTGAGAAGACGGAAATTGAATGTCTTGCTTATTGGTGGATATGGAGAACCCACCTAAGCGAGTTGTAAATTCCTGATTCTAAACTAATAGTGCGCATGGGCTCTAGGGTCTTGAAAGAACAAATGGCGTATGAACTTACATTTAGTCATCGGTTACCATGGGACGGCATCTGGTGTTGCTCTACTGCCTTGTAGATTAGACTCCTAGGTCACAGGCTTAGTGAATGGCACCTTAGAAAACTACCTACCTGGGTTGTGTCGCCCAAGAAGTATTCCAACCCTCCTTGTACTCATGCTATTGTCTAAGTAATAAATTGTATATTTATATGCATAATCAATTAAATTAAGGAGTTACTCTTTTTTGAGACCTTATCAAATGAGTATCGAAGTTATTTCCACATGTAGGATATAACATGTAACTTCTGACTTACTAAGAATTTATTCATTTCTAATGTATATCTGTTTTGTACTTATTCGAATGTTTATTACACGGTAAGGAATGATATTATTTATACAGTCATGAATGTGATGAAGGATTGCAAATGAAGACTCAGAAACTGTTCAACTGTAATTATTTTTACTGTAGTTAATTCATTTTAGACGATATTTTTCCCTTGTTGAAAGCACATTAGAAAATGAAAGTAAAACTGGTAATTTGTAGAGATTAATAGACAACATACCTACATTCAGGGTATTAAAATTGTTAAATTTGAACAAGGCTGAAAAAGTTATTTTCGACTCTGTTATCGTCTTTCTGTTAAACTTTTTAAAATGAAATATTACCTGGACTTTTAAATTCTTGATTTTGTTTCCCTGTGTACTCGTACGATGTTAAAAGAGTATAAATTTACCTAGCACCTGTTTGCGTCGCTTAAGGTTTTATGTATAATATTTCATCTTCATTGCAGAGTACTGTCATTTTTCGTTCCTTACAAATATTCATCAGTAGAGATAAACATGACAGTATTACTTGATAATGTCAACCTAACCTAAACTGTTTTCCGAAACCGCAGAAATTTTTTTACTGAAAACATACGCTGTCATTCTGGTTTTAAGTCTTAATAAGCAAATTTTCTGAAATGTAAACCGAAAATGAGTTGTTGTTTTCAAAATATTTTAGTTCTAAAGGTTCTGGAATCAAGTCAAATACTGTGCGCCCGACTTCCATGAGTACAGAGCATTTAAATGAAGATTTGGTAGTCCCAAATGGATTATATCAGAAGCCCATTGTATCAACTAATTCCTTGGACACATTTAATTCTTGTTCAGATGCAGATTGCCTTTGTTCTTTGGAAATCGATCAACGTCAGGATCATGTGATTACGCAATGTAACAAATGTATAAAATATCAGGCATATCACCACGGAAATTTACGTACGTCTTCCGGACATACACAATCTAACATCAGCTCAGATTCCCATCCATTGGTTATTTCTAACCCCAGCGCTGTTGCAGAAACTTTCGATTTATCTGATCATAGTCGTGATTCGTCTTATCCTGATGATCATTTCGATCGTATGGTACCTTCTCGAATTGAGTTACCTAACATTTGCTATGAGTTAGGAGAGGATGGACACACTAAGACAATAGAAGAAATTGAAAGCAACTATGGAGGACGTTTGAGAACCCAACGCGCTGCAAGGATTATACAAAATGCCTATAGAGACTATCGTTTGAGAGCGGAATACGCACGATTGAAGCTAGAAAAAGGAATCGGTCGTATACGAGAAAGGAACCCAAGCAAAATCGTCCAAAACAAAGCTAATTCTGATCACATTCCAAACAAAGGTGACTGTGCGATTTCTGAAGCTACAGATGACGTTGATGATTTGGTAATCGAGGGAGCATATGTTGACTGGTCACCAGAAGCGGGTGTTAGTCAGACTGAGTTACCAAATTCAATTAACAATGAAACACATTTGATTGACTGTATTTATCCTGAAACTCATCCTCATATTTCACAGTCTTGCACAATTCCTCATACTGATAGTTTACCGACAATTTCTGATTCTCCTAGTGTTCCCAGTTATTTGTCTCCTGCTAATGCAAAGTCCAGTATCAATAATCAAAATTTAAGGATGTGTAATCCACAATTGATGCATTTTTCAGTTCCAAACTCATCTCTAAATTACAATAATGATCTTATTCAGATACCTAGTGAATATTTCTGCAGTCCATCTACTAAACAGTTAACAGTATTTAATAGTCCTCAACCACAATGGGTCAGTTCTCTTCCTAATCATTTTGATCTCTGTTCGAGGACTCAGGTTACTACTACCTGCGAACATTGTTCTCGTACTCGTCAACCTAATCTAACTCAACACTTTGGTGTTGAATGTATTCCGAAATTCGGTGACATATCTCCAGGTGTAGCAGGTTCATCTGTACATAGAGTTCATTACAAAGAATGCTGCGTACCACCCAGTATTCCGAACCGTTCAAGCTTTCGTAACAATTGTTGTCCTTATTGTGTGACTATTCCAAATTTAAAGGTTACCTCTACTACAAACAAACCACCTGCTTTGGTTTGTATGCCTGCATCTAGAGCTATCATACCACCTCAACTTTGTAATAATAGTGGATGTCCAGGAATTCCTTTCCCTATGGGAAAAGTATACAAAACACCAACAGTTATTTCATCCTGTGTCCCTTTGAACAATGAATTACTGCAGTTGCACACGACGCAGTTAATAAATAATGTTCCACATGTTCCCTTACACCATATGGGGTCTCTTAATATTAATAAGAATGATTCTTCTCAAAGACTACATCCAACACATGTGTCTTGCGGAGGCAATTGTTATCATATCCCTAATTCGTGTCAGTTACACATGCATCCTTCATATCTTCCACATAACTTACCAAGTCAGACTCTTCATCCATCTATTGTAACCCCATTTTCTCATACAAATTCCTGTATAAACCGACTACCCAATTCTCATGAGAAACGTAGAAAACGAACTTATCGTATTGGTTTAAACATATTTAACAAGTAAGAAATTTCCAGTTATATCTGTTATATTTTATTAAAATTTTTGATACTGTTCTTTTAGAATGTATTTAGTTTTCGATTATTCATGTAGTCACGATCGTCAGCTTTTAAGTTTTGAGAAATATATGGGGTCGTTAAAATAATGAAATGCCTTGGCCTACTATAAAATGTATTCTGTAGACATTTGGAATTATTCTGCTTGAATGTTGGGATTACAGTGCTTCCAGTTTCCAATATGATTTCATCAATAAATAGATTATTTCCACCCTCGTACTAGGTATTATGTTGACTGTGACACGTGATCTATTTATTGTGGTATAACCTCTAAGGATGATGCAAATTTGTACTAGAATCTATGTTGATTATGGTTAACGAAATATTTAGTAGTTTGTGCTGCTTGTACTGCTTTCTGCTCCATCTATCAGAACTCTAATACATTTTATATTGGTTGTTGCAGATTGGATGTTTTTGTAGCTCACATGTTTATTCGTCAATAATACTGTTGTACATGTCTCGTAACAATAGCTGCGTTTTTCTGCACCAATATATATTTCCAATTTCACTATCTTGGTCTGATTTTCACTTCATACTTGTTTATCGCTACAGGTGTTATAGTTTATTTTAACAGTAGACATTTATATGCACCGGTTCAAGTTGCCACACCTTATCAACACTGAAAGATGCCAAATTAATATAGGTAGTCATCGTATCAGTAGTTATAGAAAAGATTAGGGATAGAACAGATTCGAGAAGAAAATATGAATTCGTGAAGCGAAAAAATCTTCAGATATTTAAGAAGAGATATAGTGTGGATGCACCCGCACTGTTGCGAACGATTCCGAGCCATATTTTCTAAAGTCACTAACCACTGGTTACAATGGTCGCACCGACCCCAAACAGATGGTTTGGACTCTATGTTTCTTGATATTCATCTATAGTTATGTACAACTAAACATCATTCTCCAGATCCATTTCGTGTGACAATGTAACAATTTTTTAATTATGTCGTTTCAGTCAGATCACTATAATAACTCGTTTGATTAATATCAAGCCTTAACAACTTATGTCATATTGGTTTACTTTGTTCATCTTGATACACTCGAGGGTAGGGACAGTCCACTCCCTCTCGAAATGCTCTCACATGGCCACGCGTATACAGCCACTGCCAGGGAAGTCCTACTCACTGCCTTCTCGAGGCGGGGGTGTTTACGAAATTGAGAGGACGAAAAGCGAATGTCCGACGCTTTAACCGGGTTGGTGGATATTGAGGACCCACCCAATGGAGTTGGAGGACCCCGATTCCATTTAACTACATCCACTTACGTTGCTCCATAGCCTTGTGGATCAGACTCTTAGGTCGAAGGTTCCGGGTGTGACTCCCTAAGAAAACCACCTGCTTTGGTCTGGGAACACTGGAGGTTTCACAGCCCACACACAAATCATGTGACTTGTGTGGCACATATGTATTCGGTACCCCTTCGTACTAATATTTATATGTACATATAAAAAATGAGTATTTAAATAGATGCAAGTACCTAGTTAGTATAAACTAATAAAATTTTATTTACAATATAGGTCACCTGTAAAAGGGATTGATTTTCTAATTAAGAATGGATTTTTGGAGAATTCTCCACAGTTGATTGCTCGTTTTCTGTTAACCCGTAAAGGTTTAAGTCGGGTTGCTATAGGTGAATATCTTGGGAATACAAAGAATGAAATAGCCAAGTTGACAACGCGGTAAGTTCAATTTATTGAGCGAATTGTTTTTGAATTTTCTTATGCATATTTTTTCGTATTTTACGAAAATACTGTATGTCTGGTTTCTACTAGGGGTTTATTTCCAGTTTTTGTACAATATTATGTATCTTATGGCTGCTTTGAACTAAGTCTCTGTTATAGATATTACTAATTTTCGACTTTTCCCGGAAGTTAAAGTAAATCAGGCAAATTATAGTGGATCTATAACTGGAAAAAAAATAGTATGATGTTGCTAGCACAGTTGCGTGTGACAGTTAATATTTCATAATAAGAATAATTTCTTTTATCTGTAATCGGCAAAATGGTAAGGGCAGTAAATATCAACAATGTAGGCGTTGTCAGCTGTTTATTAATTTGGTTTTTAGTATTTCTAGAACTTTCTTCTAGGGACGACCAACATGTTGCATAGGTAGGTAAAAAGGCCAATCAATATTCTTATATTTAAACATGAAAGTTTGTCATTTTTAGCCATATAAAGAGATAAACATATAACAGTTGCATTTCTATACAAAAAAACGACAAGTTATTCGTTTAATATAAACACAAACTGTTATTTTGTCACTGCGAACTTGGGAATTTTTGAATTATCGATTTGTTTTTTTTAAAAAACGAAATGGGCGTATTAGAGTTAGATAAGTTATTTTAACGGACAATGGTATGGAGATGTGATTGTTCTTGGGATTATAAATGAATATAACTTATTATTGTGTTAATTAGTCATAACTGCCTTTTTGTTGAGTCAAGTATAAAAAATTTGTTTGTTGTCCCTCCTTAGAAAAAATGTATAGAGGACCCATAAGTTTTCTTCCAATTTTTATTGAGAACATAATCTTAAATGTGTATTTCATTTTGTTTTTGGTATGGGTTTGTTTGAAACCAAACAATATTATGGTTTGTATTTCGTTAGTTAGGGGCGGCCAAACCCAAACGTGGCATCAGTGCTTGGAGTCACTAACGTCTAGTCTGAACCATGCTGGGAGATGCAGACTACTTGGTTGGGGTCTGCGTGACTATCGTATTGAATGGTTGGAGACTCTTGGTGACATGGTTCAGAATCGATCACAATGGCGTTGGTGTATACACTCTCTGTCTTCCCTTGAACTAAGAAATTAAACTCGCTTCATATCTTCCTTTCTACGAACTAATTCTTTATTCCTGTACTATATCCTTATTGCAACCTTTCTTTTATATATTATCACCTCTGAATTAACTACTTTTATGAATCCGGTGTCCATCTTGTTGTGTTAATGAGGTATGGCAACTTGGACCGATGCATATATGTGCCTGGTCCTACGTTGTAGCTGACTGACTGACTTGTATTTCGTTATCATAAATAGAGTATGTTGCCATAATCTCTAAAGCATTTATCAAGTACAGGCTATTACACACTTGATTTTGATCTGGGCGATCTTTTTGCAAGGAATATTGGTTGCTATTGGGTTACTTAATCTAAAATAGATGTAACAGCGTAATAACCTGCTAACTGTTTATTGAAAGCCAGATTTCTTAAACATCCATAACGTTTGTCGTAGCGATTTAACTTATTTTAGATGCTGCGAGGTTTGATCTTTTTTATATATCCACAATTCATAGCTGAAATCACTAAGTATTAGATATCACTATATCTCCTTACCAGTTTTATTGATAGTTTAAGTGTAAGTTCGTCATTCATGTATTTGATTTGTTTCAATGTTTGATTCTCAATGAACTATTACAACAAAATAAAACAACATACTAGTAAACAAATATTTTTTGTCAGAATGGGAATTTGTAGAGACTGTAGTATTTCAACAGTTGAATCTACGAGTCAATTTAAGCTAAACTATCATTGAAAACCTGGAAGCACTGGACGGTCATTTCGTTCTAGTATGAGGCTATTCAGCATTGCGCATTCACGACCCTGTACGCGGGACTCAAACCTAGAACTCCCGTGCTCGCGCGCTTAAATTGACTGGTGATTTTCAACTGTTAAAATAATATTTATTCCTGTAGCTTTGTTTAGTTCATATTGACTACTTCAGTTGTTGCTGAGGTGTTGTACTTAACTCTATTACAAAACATTTTATGCATAATTATGTTGTAATACCTTATTATGAAATCTAATTTAGATATCAGAAAACACCCTATGAACTTTGTACATTTTTTTTTGCTTAAGGTCATAGTTACAGCACACTAGAGAGTTATATTGAATGTTGATGATTCATACACATGGTTTTATTAAAGTAATGATGGTGTATTGTTGTAGACACATTGTTCAAACTAACGAAATTAAAAGATCGATAGATTTCTTTACCAACAGTGTTTTCACATCTAACTTATACACTAAATTCACTACATCTAGCCTCAGTTAAACAGATTTTATAATTTATTACATTTTCATTCATTCTGATGTAAATAATAATAATAATAATAATAATAATAATAATAATAATAATAATAATAATAATAATAATAATAATAATAATATAGATATTTATTTATTAGAACACATAAACATTAATACAAAGAGGTACTACAGATATATACGCCCCAGTTCATTTGATTTTTGTGAGGGCTGGGATACTGTCCGGACGCCCAAACAAATGCAGGTGGTATTCTTAGGGGGGCACACCCCGAAATAATAATCAAATCTCTATTCTGGTATTAATCAAAGATACTTTGCTCCCAAATGCCGTGGTACGGCTGAAAGTGGGGAGAGTCCGCTCTCCCTCTCAAAATGCTCTCACATGGCCACGCGTATAAAGCCTTTTCCAGGAAAGTCCTACTCACTATCTTCTCGTGACGGGGGTGTTGTTTACGAAATTGAGAGGACGAAAAGCGAATGTCCGACGCTTCAACCGGGCTGTTGGACACGGAGAGTCCACCTAGGGGAGTTGGAAAACCCCGATTCCAAACCAATGGTGCACATGAGATCCAGTATCCTGAAGGAACAAATGGCGTATGAACCAATCGTTGATCACCGGCTACCATGGGAATGCATCTACTTACGATGCTCCATTGCCTTGTGGATCAGACTTTCAGGTCGAAGGCTCCGGGTGTGACCCTCTAAGAAAAACACCTTCGGTTTGGGCACCCAGTAAGTATCAGCCCCCACACATCAAATGACATCTGCGTGGCGCATATGTATTTGATGCCTCCTTGTACCAATATCTGTGTTAAAATAGATAAATAAATCAAGAAATAATATTTTGCTGAAAGCAACTGTACATTCTTCATATAACATTTATAAAATATATTCATGCTTGTTGAAAGCTGTGGTAAAAGTAACATTGTTTAGTGTCAACGTTCGTGGTTTATTTGTGATATTAGTATGAGGGATTTTTGGCGATTTTATAGTTTTTGCAGTTTAAATTACGAACTGATATTAACTAAAGCAACGTTAGAAACCTTGAATGACTGGATCGGGTACTAATGTGCCCCATGCTAGGATGAAATAGGTTTCCAGCCCTTTCAATGGTTGTTTGTAATATATAGAAATTACCAAGTTCGATGATTATGGTTTGTACCAACTAATAAGCTTATATACATACTCGGACTTCTTTGAATTGTAATAGTTTGAAATCCATATATCTTAATGATTTGTGATAAAGCTAGTTATCTACCGTTATGGTTTTGGTACATGTTTAGAATTTTGGGCAATTATCTACTTTTCTCTATATTTGATAAACTCACTACTTTACAGTTTGTTGTTGTGTTTAAGCGTTCACTTTATTTTGGAGACTTTTGTTTATATTTATTGTGGATTTTTGTATTTTCGACTTTTTTTCCAAACTAATCTTGACATTTAATAACTTGTGACTGTAATGAATAAATGGCAAGATTTTTTGTCTAGGCATAGGTACATAATCCCAGACTAAATTATTTTATATCTTGCAATTTCATCTGTAGTCTTTGTAATCTACCGGTTTAATTGATTAACTTACAGCTTTTAGATCGTAATCTTAAACCCTATTCTAACTACTCTATTTTGACCATTTGTAATGATTACATAATCTTTGTTAAGTAAATTGCAAGTTGCTGAACTTGATGACTGTAATGTCGTGGGATTTAATTTTTTTTATTGATTACGAACAACCAAAAGCCGGTGTTTTTCACTGAATTAGCTTTATTTCACCGGTTGATTTAAATAATGTTTTTTAAAGCATGGAAACTAGGGTGAAGTTTGATTATAAATATGCTTTGTTATATAGATAACGAATTAAAATTGTATGCCTGCTGGTTACAGTTCGCTTAATATTAAACTAATATTTGTTTCGATTTAATTTTGCCTCATTTTGAACTTTGTCTGCAGGATTTGGACAATCTGGTTCACGGTTAGTAATCAGCCTAGAAACTAATCTACAAAAAGATAGTCTCTCAATAGCCCAATACTTTTGAAAACTAGTCTACATGAAGATAGAAATATCTTTATCAAGAAACGTTTGTTTGTTTTCAGAAATTTGTGTCACTCGAGATCAGTATAAATACAGCTGATGGCATAATTAACTCGATTAGTTTCTATATAGACTTCATAAGTAAACAAATACATATGAAGTAGGCCAGTATGTTATGTTAGTTAGTAATCAGCCATAACCAATAGATTTCTGTCTCTCGAAGTTACCACATTTGAAACTGTATATAACTTATTGTACTACAATTCACATACTAAATGTATGTTTAGTTCTATTTATAGAAATATCCATTTAACTACATATCATTTAGATAAACTTCATAAACCACCACACGCATCTTTTCTACATAATACTTTAAATCTTGTAGATAATTTAGTGTATACATACTTAAGAAGCTCAATGTTTCAATATTTAATTATATCATTTATCATTTTACTTTTTGTTGACAAAATACTTTTAGACAATTTATACGAGAATTGAAATTTCGGAACAAAGAAGTTGATGAAGCATTGCGTATATTGTTGGGATGTTTTCGTACACCAGTAAGTTGTTTTATAATCTTCATAAACTTTATCATTTTGACATAGTTTCCAGTACAAAGTTTAAGGTGCCATTAATTTCGAAATTGGTTGTTTTGTTAAAATATTCCTTAGAATGATTTTTAAATTTTGTCATTTCATCCAGAAACAACAAACCGTATATATGATACTTTTGATGCTTGTAACATATCTGACGGAGACAAGAAATCGTATTGTTTTTCTAACGACAATAATGTTCAAAAACCCGTTTCATATGTAGTTTATAGGAAACTGATAGCGGGGATCTTTTTAGCATAGTTACAGTTCTGTAGTCAAAGCTAAGAATCCTTGTTATCAATCATTTGGAAGCGTTTTTAGAAAACAGCTGTTGGATAATCTATAATATTCCTTGCATAATCCATCTTTAAATAATTTGGAAGTTTAGTTTTTTTGTCAAACGCGGTGATTTCACTCGAAATCTGTTAAAGTGACATATGTTTATTTTCCGAATAATCGATATGAATTTATTAATCTAACCCGTATCCAACCAATACGAACTGGTAGACAATACCAGAATGTGTTATTTTTCTACTGTATATTATTATTAACTCTGTCTTACAATCTTTATATATAGTGGTTACACTTATTAGGCATAGAAAATCAGTGAATTCATACATCTTATAGTTTTATAATTTGTCGTTTCTTTATTTCATTGTGCTTTTCATCCTTTCTTCTCGAGAAACATTGGATTTTTCAATACCACTGATAATATTACATTTCCCTTAGTTTTCCTCTAGTGAATAGTCCTTTACTGCATAACACATTTAGGATACAATATCATGTTTTGTATGCATATATACTTTCCTCTTTTTATTTTGTGTTCACATACATGACAAAACTTTACGTCATGTTCAACTTTAACAGTTTGCGTAGCTCTTCAAAATCTCAGTTTATAAATAGCACATTTATTCTTATAATTATGGTGATATGGACAAATTACCAGGATGATAAATGCTGAATTCTGAGTAATTTATTGTTTTGTACTGAATATTTGCTTATTTTGCGAGTAGTTCTAAAACAAAGCAGGACAAAATAACTGATGTTCAAAGATTCGTTTTCTTGGTACTGAAGATATCTTTCACAATTTTTAGAAAAATAACTATCTACTTATAAGTAGTCAAATGCAAATTATAGTTTTATTTTAGTTCAATAAACAAAATTTGACTAGTAGTTTTTCATACTATTTTTAGGGTGAATCACAGAAAATTGTTCATCTATTAAATGAATTTCAATCAGCTTATGTAGAACAGAATGCATCTCTTGTGAAGTCACAATTTAGGAATTCCGATACTGTTATGATATTAGCATATGCAATTGTAATGTTACATACAGATATGTATAGTCCAAATGTTCGACCACAATCAAAGATGACAAAAGAAGAGTTTGTAAGAAATTTGCGCGGTGTTGACTCTGGTGAGTAAAATGATTGTTTCTCCAGAAAAAAAATTTCTTTTTTATCAACAAATTCCTGTTTTTATTGTCTGGGATCATAACTATGTATTAATAATGTGATCCAATTGTTGTTTTTTAGTCTACTAATTTTACATGCTGTTAAAATTCTCAAGTAACTTGTTACAGCTCTGTTGTGCTAAAATATTTTACTTATAATATCTACATTTTCTATCATAGTTTACACGTGACTTTGCTTATATGGTTTGGTGTATTCGTAGGTTTGTTAAATCTGTTAAGAGAAAACATTCATTTTCATGTTTAAAATGTTGTATAATCACTGTAGTACCAAACCATCGAATTGTATTTATATGAGTATTCCATGTGATTCGACATACCATTAAATATGTAAAATTCAATAGATTAATTTAATAAATAACGTTAGTTTTAAAAAGTAATTGTTAACTGAAAAATATACAGTGAAAAGATTGAGTTTCATTTACAATAATTCGTTACTATTTAGAAGTTAGCATTTTCTTCTGGTTCGTTAAACCTGATACTCAGATACTGTGAACTTCTTATGGAGAACTCATCAAAGTTGAGAATCTAAAAGTGTTTGTCTCTGTTATTCAGTATTCACATTTTTATATTTAATTTCATCACAACTTATCTCTTAGAATTGAGCTTTTCTTCACATAGATTTTTAGGGGTTGATCTCCTGGGATATTCACTTGTCTTATTCGATGATGATGTTAACATAATTGAGAATCTTCTGACTGAGTCGATCGACAATTTAATCATGTACATGATGTGGTAAATTGTTGCTTCGAAACTGGTCTGCATTATCGCTTAGATTGATCATAGAAAATGAAGCATTTGAGGTTCTTGATTACTCCATTTACGTTTCACCAACCTTCCTGGATCGATGTCTAGCGAAATATCAACACATTCAAAAGTTCCATTGAATTCCTCGAACTTGTAGACGTAGACGTGATGTTCCTTTCCCAATCAGACCTCCAGTAAATCGTATATCAATGCACTTTATATTGCGTTATAGCTGTAAAATATGGTTTATAGACGTAGAAGATATGCATCGGTTGCAGAATTTCGATCTTTCAAGCATTGCTTGCAATTTGGGGCATAAGATTCTAAGCAAAAATAGCGAATTCTTCTCTGTTGTTGAGACTCTTTCGATTGAGTTGGTTTGGCATGTGTTACTTATTCCCAAACCAGAAAGTGACGTCAGTCTGTTAAATCGTTAATTATTGAACATATTAGTTGATGTAGACTATCTTATTAGAGTTTGTGCCATCAATATTTGCAGACGTTGGTGGGATCGGTCACAATAACATACATTCACTCTATAAATACTGTAGATTAATGTACTTGATACATATCTTTTTATTCTGGAAATATGTGCTGGACGTTTAACATTCCTCATTGTCATTATTATCACATCGTTTCGACTCTTTTGATGTTCATCATGTTAATTTGCTATCGTTGTGGCAATTTGACAAGTAAACTTGGGTTAACTCACATTAGTGTTAGGTCTTCTTATTTATTGATTAGGACTAAGTGGCAAAAGATTTTGTACATACTGATGCAGTAACCAGTCAGTTTTCAAAATATACAACAATTTTTTTATATTTGGTGTAGGAAATAAATAATTGTAATCGTAAATACAACTCAGCGGCTCATCTGTGCTGATGACAGTTAGTCATTCTGTTTTTATACGCCATATTTTTTTATATTTTAAGGTGAAGATTTAGATCGAGATTTTCTGCTTGGCATTTACGACCGAATCAAATCCCAAGAAATGTCTGTACAATCAGACCATACAGATCAAGTTCGTAAAATACAAAAACATCTAACAGGTCCTCAGAAGCCTCTTAATCTATCAGTCCCTCAAAGGAGATTGGTTTGTTACTGTCGACTTTATGAGGTTAGTTGCTTTCGTTGTCGCATCTGTTATTCATAACCTTATCTAATTTGGTGTAATGAATAAATTGAGAAATTTCTTTTAATATATTTAAAATGAACGGTTACACTTCGTAAGAAATTTTTATGTGCATTGAGAATTTGGCTACCATTTCTGTCAGTTGTGAAAGCCGTTTATCATTTACAAGCTGCAATTACTCCCATTTACATGTCACAAAACAGTCTTGTTTCTTAATTGTAGCATAACTGAAGGTTTCTAATAACAGGGAGTCAGGAGTACAGTAGATTAAATAATTTATAAATTTGTTCATCTAACATATTTCAAAGCATAAGCTTGTTATCAACCTAATCGGGTTTATCACCGATTGCGACCGAAAAACACTGGATTATGGGAATTATTTATAGACGGTTATTATGTATATCTTATGCAGTCAGTCAGTCTGCTACAACGTAGGACCTGGCACAGATATGTATCGATCCAATCTGCTGCACCTCATCAGCACAACAATATGAACAGCAGATTCATAGAAGTAGTTAATTCAATGGTGGTAATATATAAAAAAAAAGACTGTATATTAGGATATAGTACAGGAAGAAAGAATTAGTTCTTAGAAAGAAAGACATAAATCAATTTTGATCTCATAGTTTAAGGGCAGACAGAGAGTGTGCACACCGACGCCATTGTGATAGATTTTGAGCCATTTCACACAGTCTCCAATCACTGGTTACGACAGTAACGCGGACCCCAACCAAGTAATTTGCATATACCAACATGGCTCAGACCAGAATTTAGTGACTTCAAGCATTGATGCCACGTTTTGGTTTGACAACCCCTAACTTCCTTCCAACCGTCCCCAAGACTAATCAGCATTGCGCGTCGTGGTAATCGGTGGTTGGGCATACGTAACACGTGGCCCAACCATCTCAGTCGATGAAGATTCACAACCTAATCAACTGATTTATCGTCATTGCCTAATACCCTGCCTCTAACCCCACTATTACTTACCCTGTGATCCCAGCAGATGCGAGTAATATAATTCTAAGACATCTGTAGCTTACGAGTATATTTCACTCTTAATGACCACGTTTCGCAGCCGTTAAGTAAAACATAATGTGAACTGCCGCGCAGTATACTCGTCCCTTAATTGGTAGACATATCTCGCCTTCGTCACAGGTGACGTAAGTTGGCAAAAGCCAACCGAGCTTTTCGAATTCGTGCTGAGATTTCGTCAGACACCAACCCATTACTGCTGATCAGACTTCTAAGATAAGTGAAGTTGTCAACTTGTTCGACTGCTTCGTTCCCTACCCTTAGATCAGGTGTTGATGTAAACTAGTCCTGAAGCAACAACTTGCATTTAGAGGGGGAGAAGCGCATCGCAAACATTCTGGGATTGTTGCTCAGTGCTACCAAACGACTGCATTTAATCAGCGTCTTCACCAACACAGGACTGTGTCATTTGCGTATTCTTAGTCGATAAGTGGATCTCCTGGAAGGAGATCAATGCACGAAAATTCAGTCGATGAATGTTATTCCCATCGGTAGGTCCATGATGAAGTTAAAGAAAAATGGAGAAAGTGGACAGGTTAAACAAGAGGGACCGATAAGTATTATGAGTTGACTCTAGGCTACTCGTACTGTCTAACGCGTCGTTGGTTTGGCACAATACCAAGCTCATATAGGTCAATGGTCTAATTGCCGATCTTATCATGTGATATTTGAAGGGGCATAACACTTTGCAAATTATATGTCCCTTTATTTTTCTATTTTAGGTTCCAGATAAAAATAAACGAGAACGATCTGGTGCACATCAACGTGAACTTTTTTTATTCAATGATCTACTTCTTATTACTAAAAGTGTTCAAAAACGCAGACGTGATGCATCAGTTGCATATCAAGTACGAATGACTATTCAATTATTCGGAGTAAAATTGGTCCCATTTGAAACTGTTCATCATCCTAATGGTTTAGAGCTACTTGCACCACTTGAACAAATTCAAAATGTAGACTCTCATAGAGAGGTTGGTATGAATCATATCGTTGAGACACCCAATGGTCGAGCGCGTATCTTAATCACTTTAAATACAAAAACAAGTTCAGATCGTGCTAGATTACTAGAAGATTTACAAGAATGTATATTAGAAGTTACAGAGATGGAGCGTTTAAGACGAGAAGAAATTTCAAAACAAAAATATAATCAAGTTCATCATCATTGTTTAAGTCATAAATCAGGAATAGACAAATCAGGAAATCATCCCAAATCACTTGACAATTCAGGTGTCTCTTTTAACACCAATAATAGTCATACTTATTCTGATCATGATAATACTTTATCATCACATATTTGTGCACCTATAGCTTGTTTGATGAATGCTACAGAAACAAGAATTACAGAACAAACAAATCATATGCCTGAATTCTGTCAGCATTATAAATTACCAGATGGGCAAAGATTAAGTGGTGACAGTGGACTGATGGCTGATTTGGATACAGTATCTTCTTAATTCAATCCAATCTATAAATAATACAGTTATTCCAATTCTAATTTCATTTTCATCCTTTTTTTTTATATTAATTTAGAAAATACGAATGTTTCAAAAATTGCTTTTATTCATTTCGTGTTTATTTTATACGGGAGTTTCTATAATGTATGTGTGTTGCACTAGTCAACATATTTTCACTGTGATATTATTTTACGTTAATAGACTAGTTATTTGGCAAGAATAAAAGTTTGTCATCTAAACAAGTTCTCGCGAAAATTTCATCTGTTAACTTTGTACAAACATTTAATTATGTTCATTTCGATATTGTATATATTCAATAAAGATTTTTCTTTTAATTTCAAGTGTTATATATAATACTGTTTATTTGAAGAGTTAAGTAAAAACAAGCAAATCTGGGCAAGATTAGAAAGACAAAAGGGGACTCGGACTATTTCTCAATTGATTTATTTATTTTAACACATATATATTAGTTCAAGGAGGCACAAAATGCATACGCGCCACACAGATCTCATTTGATATGTATGGGGGCTGTGATACTGCCCGGGTGTCCAAATCGAAGCATCAGCTGGTTTTCTTAGGGGGCCACACACAGAGCCTTCGATCTGATCCGCAAGGCAGTGGAGCAACGTAAGGAGATATAGTCTCATGGTAGCCGGTGACCAGCAATTGGTTCACACGCCGTTTGTTTCTTCAGGATACTGGAGCCCATGTGCACCATTGGATTGGAATCAGGGTTTTCCAACTCCTCTAGGTAGACTCTCCGTGTCCACCAACCCGGTTAAAGCGTCGGATATTCGCTCGTCGTCCTCTCGATTTCGTAAACAACGCCCCCGCCACGAGAAGATAGTGAGTAAGTAAGTTACTAAGAGGTGTGTTGAGTATACATAAATAACACTATGAGTTTAGTCAATTATGATGTGGACCAAGCTGTAGCTCAACTTCCTAATGAATTTTATAGTATCAGATAGTCATCAACGCAGGACCAGGCGCACATGCGAGTTACCACATTCCATTAACATTACAAGATGAACACCAAGTTCATAGAAGCAATTAATTCAATGGTAGTAATATATATAGACATAGCATGTAAGGATATGATACAAGGAACCAATCTCACTTATTTAAAGGCAAAATCTCACGACGTCAAAGGATCTAAAATTATCCATTCTGTTCACATTTTTGCACTGACTGTTTTGCTCTCTTAGTATACTTGGATATGAACAATTTTCATTTCTACATAGATAGGAAGAATGATTCAACTGACCTTCAGTCCTGCTGCGGTTGTATCGAAGTGGTCGCTTCATGGAGGAGTCCGTGATAGGTGGTTGACAGCAACTAGTTTGAGACGATGTAGAACACCAGAACACCTTGTCTCACAGATTTCAAACGATACGGCTACATAAATTCTACCTAAGTTTTGAACATCCCAGTTATTTCAATTCACCTTTGATTTATCCCTCTACAATTTTCTGTTAGTTTTAATGATTTTAATCATGTTATTCTTATTATCCATTAATTACGTGCTATGATAAGCTGTGGTATGTTGAAATGGTGAGTATTGATTACTACGTTAGATATATGTGTCAACGCATCTTGATATTGATCATTTACTCCCTTCTTACTTTTCTAATTTACTTTAAAAATTTCCTACGTCTCATTGTTCTAATGAAGCATAATTAAGATTCTGTACCCATAAAAAAGTATGGACGTAATTAAGATCTCAGTCAATCTAACTGATAATGCTGGACCACCATCTTAAAAGATTTCTGGGACTAATCCGTCTGGACCTGCAGTTGTCCATCACTTTAAATTCCCTACATTTTTTTCAACTTCACCGACAATTGGAGGACGTACACCAGTTTGCCTGGAGATGGTGGGAAAGTGTAGAGTGGCCGAAGGCCTGTTGAACTGTTTTGCACACCAGTCTACTCTCCTGAATTGAGAGTGAACAATAGTCCGTCTTTTTCCGAGATAGTTTCACTGATAAGCGGATTTTTGATATTCGTTTCCTTGATAAGTGTGAACAGTCGTTTACTTTTACCTATCGCTGTTGTCTTTTCCATCTCTTCTGGTTTCCCTAACCACTGCTTCTCACGATCACGTAGGCTTATTATCAGCGTAGGTTTAAGCTGCCTCCGCTCCTCACCGTGTTCAGAACCAGACGGATGAGTTTCTGAGCATCTATCAGTTCTGCAGATGCCACTGAAATTCAGATTTTTCTAACCTTTTGGTTTGTTACTAGTGCACATCACTGCTGTTTCTACAGGTTTTTAGATATCATACCAAGCTATTTCGAGGTGGATATCGCTTTTACAGTTGATTAGTTCTTTCTCTAGTTGGTCGTGAAATATATTCTCAAATTTTTCATCCTTAGGCTGAACTCTAAGGGCTACTCTTGCTGTGGCATTTCTATATCCAGTAAGATGCAGACAAAGACGTCCTCGAACCATAGCATGGTATGAGTTTAAACATGTGCCCCGGAATGAGCGACAGTCTTCTGTCGAGCCACCCTGACTGGCTGATAACAATGTGATCAAGTTGAGTTGGTTGTGAGCTCACCACGTGAGATGTTCTTCCTTATATTTAAAGTTGGTGTTCACTAGAAATAGATGGTCATTAAAGCATAGCTGCAGCAGAAGGTTGTCGTTATCTGTTTGTCGAACCTTAACATCGTAAGATTCGCCTAAGAGCCTTCCGGTCTGATTTAGTCTACCTACATGAGCACCAAAATCACCCGCCACTATTATTAAATCAGAGCGTTTCGCTTTTGGGAGGTTGGATAGCTTCCTATAAAATCTATCTTTGACTTCATCTGAGCTGCAATCAGTGGAAGCGTATGTAGAGACAACGAAAAGGCGACGACGTATGTCTTGATCCCAGAGAGTTGTTATATGTATATTTTATCCGGTCAGTTCACAAGCAACTGTCTAATCGAATACAGATGAACAAAGCCTGTTCTGCTTTTACACTTGATGCTACACTTACACAAGTGAGGCCACGGGAGGTAGAAGTGAGGTTTCAGTCAGTCAGCTACAATGTAGGACCAGGCACATATATGCATCGGTCCAATTTGCCATACCTCATTAACACAAGATGGACAGCAGATTCACAAAAGTAGCTAATTCAGAGGTGGTGATATATAAAAGAAAGACTGCATATAGGGATAAAGTACAGGAAGAAAGAATTAGTTCGTAAAAAGAAAGATATGAAGCGAGTTTAATCTCTTAGTCTAAGGGAAGACAGAGTGTATACACCTACGCTACTGTTATCGATTCTGAGCCATGGCACCAAGAGTCTCCAACCATTGGTTACGATTGTCACGCGGACCCCAAACCAGTAGTCTGCATCTACCAACATGGCTCAGACTACAGGTTAGTGTCTTCAAGCACTGATGCCACGTTTTGATTTAGCCGCCCCTAACTTTCTTCCAACCACCTCCAGCACTAGTCAGCATTGCGCGTCGTGGTAATTGGTGGTTGGGAATGCGTAACACATATCCAAACCATCTCAGTCCATGAAGATTCACAACCTCATCAACTGATTTACCATCATTCCCTAATACCCTACGTCGAACCTCACTATTACTTACCCGGTGATCACAGCAATATTTCTAAAGCATCTGTGGTCAAATACTAGCAGCTCAAAAGTATCTGCTCCTAATAGTCACGTTTCGAGGCCGTAAATTAGAACAGAACAGACTGCCGTGCAGTATACTCGTCCCTTAATTGATAGACGGATGTCTCGCCTTCGTCATAGGTCACGTAAGTTGGCATAAGCCAAACGAGCTTTTCGAATCCGTGCTGAGATTTCGTCAGAGAGCGGTTTCATGAGACCAGAAATAACATTTTGTGAACTCAAAACATCAGCATTGGTGGCGTGTGATGATAAAGATAAATGAGAAGGGTTAGTTGTAGGGATGAAAGAATAATTAAAAGGTGAGGGACTTGACTGTGAACCAAATGTTCTCGTGTTCTGTTAAAAGTATGAGGGTGGTTGTCACTTCCCAGCTGCTACTCATCATGTAGGGATATTCCTCTTTGGGGGACGTGAAAAAGAAACTAAATTAGTGATGACACTACAAATCCATGAGCGTGATCCCGGAGCCTAAGGAATAACTGCTCGAGGTCGGTCGCGCAAGACCATTTAGTGGGAAGTTTTTGATGAGTTAGCTCCGCAACCCAAAGCCTTCCCGCGGGTGAGATATGATGAGGTGTGGCATTATCGAGGTCGACCTTACCTAACCCCTTACGTTTTGAGAAGGCAACTTCGCCGTAGACGTTGGTCGCCCAAGGCAAACACCTTACTGCTGTCACGCCCCTCTACAGTCAGAGGCACGACTTCGCCCTCGGACCTTAAGTTGCCGTCTTTAATCTTACCATTCCACAGTCGATTTGCTTAGGACGGTGGAACCTAAAGGAACATGTGTCCCAGCTAATATAGCTCGGTTGATTTATGATGATAGGCAAGCCCGATCACTACGTCAGAGTAGCAGCTACGGTCGGGTTGTTATGTGAAGACAGTATATACGTGAAATGTAATGCATCGAATTAGTGGAACAATTCAATCTTAAGATAAACACCCAAAAATCAACGGAGCTACCAGAGATAACCTTCATTCAGTGGTCTTGGGTGCTGTTAGAAGTATGAGGGCGGTTATCACTTCCCGGTTGCCCACACCGTGGAAGGGTTCTTCTGGAGGTACCTGAAAAGAAAATTGGATTAGAGGCAGTCTCAGTGACCTGAGAGCGTGACCGCAGTGCCCAAGGGACAACTGCTTGAGGCCGGTCGCGCACGGCCTTTTCGTGGAAGGTTTTTGACGTGTTAGCTCCGTTTTTCAAAGAGCCTTACCGCCGGAGACGGAAATCCGTGAGGTAAGGTGAGGTGTGCATTTTTAGGGTCGACCTTTTCTAACCCCACCCCTCCTTGTGGGAAGGCAGCATCGCTGTAATGCTGGTTGTCTGAAGGATACACCTTACTGCTGTCACACCTCTGTACAGTCAGCAGTACGACTTCGCCTTCGGACCTTAGGTTTGTTGCTTTTAGTCTTACCGCTCTTCAACCGACCTGTCTGACATGGTAGGACCTTGAGGAACGGTTGTCCCAGCCAGTATAGCTCGGTTGCTTCATCACGATAGGCAAGCCCGACCACCACGTCAAGGTAGCAACAACGGTCGGGAACCTTCATTAGTGTGGCCTATTAAAGTGTTGAGGTAAAACGCCTTCTTTAGTAACAAAAATCTTTTATTAAGAATACTTTTGGATTGTAAACTGTAGATATTTGCATTCTAGAGCTTCAAACAATTTCTTTATAAAAAATTATTAGCAATAGTCTGGTAGTATAAGGAAACAAAAAAATCCAAAAATATTATCCATATGATAGTTAAGTTTAAAGCATTATTATGCTGGATTGTGATATATGTTTATATAAACATGGGGTGGTATAGATGTTAGAACTGAAAATCGACGTGCACGCACAAGTGAATTAAGGTTTTACTTTCTTTTGAGACGTTCTAAACGAGCTTCCAAATTATTTTCATCAATAGGGTCAACAGAATCAGAATTAGGCCCAGGTCCCGTTATTGGGGTAGGATCAGTAGCGACTGCATGAGGTCGGACTGCACTTGGAACTGTACTTCCAATAGTATCCTTAGCTGTTGGGAGATTACTCAACTGTGCATTAAGATCGATGCCAAGTTCTTCTAAAACCTAGGGTTTTCAAACATAAGTTTATTCAAAAACTAGAAAAATAATATTGCGAACTAGACCGTAATGGTCTTTGTTATATGAAGTCCAGGGAACATGATGAAAATGCTTGTGACAAATTTATGGTTTAAGAAAAATAGGAAACTTTTCAGTGTGTAGAAATTCAAGATATTGTGAAATATAAATTCTAAACTAGGTTGGAACAAATACTCTTGAAACTTAAAGGAACTTATATATCGAACTACATAAACTGAGATGTTAGCAGCTGATTTTACATTTCAGAGTGCTAAATATTGACAGCACTTCGAACTATATGAATAGTTTCGTAACAATTCATATATAATCGGAAAAATAACGGGACATATAACCGATGGAAGTCACCATCATGATCTTGAGTTTCGGCTATACTTAGGAATAAATCTCATCTTTTATCACAATAATAATCTTGATGTACCGATATTGATCATTCATAATTACTGGTGAGATTACTGAGTTAGTTGGTTTTCAATTTCCCTTCTACACACCTCACGAAATTGGGAAGTTATGAAGTTTTATCAAACAAGCAATACCTGAAGTCAGATGCTGCACAGTATCATATGTTGTTGTCTTGGTCAAATTATTTACGAACTGTTTAGCACTTGCTGGAATTCGACCTTTCGGAAATGTCAACTCGATTCAAAGTGCGTGATTAGTCTACGAATAAAAACCAACACTAACCTTATTGACAACAGTTTCGGAGTCTTCAATATCATCCTGATCTCCAATAGCATCATCTATTACATCCGACATCATATCTTGTTTCATTTCCATCGTTTCGGTTTGTTTTTCGAACTCCATCATGATCTTCTGGAACTGAGGTAACTGCATAGTTGAATTCATTTTTCTCATTGTTAGCGCAACCTGTTTCATAGCTGAAGCCATAGTGGCGGTTGATTTTAAAGTCTGAATTTTCATTGATAACGCCTATTATTAGAAAATACTCGACTGATAAAACGTGACAAACTGTAATATTTGAGTGCATAAAGTTAAACTTCTTGATGTAACTCTCTGTTCGAACTAACTGCTTTGCCATTACCCTGACGGCATCAATCTGACCACGCTTTGCCAACGAGCGAATTTCATTTGTTATTCGAACGCGTTCCCTCTCCAACTGACTTTTTTCTCTATCTATCTCTCTAAGTGTTCTTGCAATAGTTCGTTTGCTATCTCTTAGCTGCTCTTCAGGTGTTTTTCTAGTTCCAAAAAGAAAACTCATTGAAGAACTTCTAGGAAGTAGCCCCAACAGTAACGTTTCAATTTATAAGAACCGCTTAAAATTACCAGCTTATGATTTTAGGCGTTAGTGGAATAAATCAAGTGGTATATGTTAGTTCATAATGTAAATAGTTCTTTTTGAAAATCTAGGTACCCGTTGAAAGCACTCACTGATGAGCTTAATACCACCACTTTGCTTAACTGTTCAAGGTGTAGCAGACGTCGACTAATCAATGAAAAAATGTTAACCTTGTGATATAAATCTGGGTTATAAGAGAGGGATCTCGATAATATAAAAGCGAAGTTCTTGCTGAGTCTTTCAACCCATGACACGTAAAATAATAGCGGTGTTTTTCCTCTCTAATTCTAACTCTTTATGGTTTTAATTGACTCTGTTGCTGCGACAGAGAAACTAAGCGAGTAGGTGGTTGTATTATATATGCTTTGAATACCCTAACAAATAATAAATTTGAAGATAGTGTCCTGAATAGTTTACCAGAATCAGTCTGGATTTCAGTCAACACCCTGAACCATAGTCTACTCCTTGGATATATATACAGAGCTCCCGATAGTTCGAATAATGGGTATGATCTTATTATCAATGCATTCATACATGCATTTTCTCTAAACTTTAACGCTAAGGTTATCACTGGGGATTTCAAATGTCCTGAGATGAACTGGAGTACCGGTAGTTGTTAGTCATGTAATGATGAGATCTCGGCAACCATTAACATGCAGCGCTGGTCACAATGGGTTAGTACCTCAACTAGAGGCGATAGTATACTCGACCTAATATTTAGTAGAGATGTTATCCTACCATAAGTTAGTAGTTTGCGCTCTCCCTATCTATCCCTCTTATAACCGACCCATTCAAAAAACTTGACAATATAGGCATGCTGACTTGGACCTCCTGCATTCACTGATTAAACTTTCAGACTGGGATAACTTTTTTCATGTAATAGTCTCATGGATGTTATCGATGAATTCTATCTGATCATTAACTCTTGTTTAGATTCCAGTGTAACTCTTAAAACGTACAGGTTTAGTAAACCTTACGAATTATATATACCAGCTAAATATCGTAATAAAATAAAACGCCTACAGAATCGTTATTTTAAGTCAAACAACTTCACGGCAGTTGCACAAATAATAATAATTTTTGATCAAATTAAAGAGAAACATAGGTTAAAAGCCATTAATGAGGAGCTGTTTGCACTTAATACTAACTCGAAAGTACAAAACTTAACTCTCCTTTTCAATAAACACACTAAAGCAACTCGAAATGTTGATATATCATGCATCCAGCATAATATGACTTTTATATACAACTCTAAAACTATAGCAGACCTTCTCAGTGGTATTTTTGCGAATGGTGTAGAAATCATAAGTGGATCTGCTTCAAGAGTTATGTGCATGACTAGCAACTCAATAAAATCTATCTCATTCACATGCATGAAAATTAATAAAGCTATAAATACCCTTAAGCTTTCGAGAGGCTATGGAGTAGACGGGATCTCATCCTTTCTCTACAAATATCCCACTTCTTCTTCTAAGGCTGTTTACTCTCCCTATGGAAACTGGTTCTTACTCTTACTGTTGGAAAACCGCGTACATCATACCGCGTCACAAATCTGGAGATAAGACTGACATGAACAATTACTGGCCAATAAATATTACTGCAGTTATTTCTAGGATTATGGAAAAAAATTATAAGTGATGAACTTTTCAACTATTTACTTGCTGGAAAATTTATCAATTGTACTCAACATGGATTTCTTAAAAATCATTCTTTCATGACATGTCATTTTGACTTCTTTAATTTAGTTTATTCTCTACGTAGCCAAGGATATCTAGTCTTAGTGCTATATCTGGACATTTCTAGAGCCTTTGACATGGTTATCCACCAACTTCTTATAGGTAAGCTCGCATCTTATGGGGTTCAAAATCCTTTGCTTGCTTGGCTTGATTCCTTTCTCAGCATTCGATACCAAATAGTTAAAATTAACTCTTCATTGTCTAACGCTGTCCCTTTTAGAAGTGGTGTAATACAAAGTAGTGTCTTAGGTCCTTTGCTCTTTTTAGTGTTTATCAATGATATTTATGGAATTTTTTGTGTGGGTATGCCCCTTCTATATGCAGATGATTTTAAAGTAGTGTATTCGTTTTCTCCACATGACCTGAAAAGTATGCAAAATTGCATCAGCATGGAACTTAACAAGGTAGCACAGTGGTGCTTAAAATGGCAAATGGAGCTTAATACGGCTAAATGTGGATGGATATGCTTTGGCGATACATCACTCGACCTAGACATTACCATAAATGGAGAAGTGTTATCTAGGTTACATACAGTAGTAGACTTGGGACTCAGATATTCCCAAGACTTGTCGTTCACAGAACATATATTAAAACAGACTTCTAGGTCTCAACGTCTAATAGGTTGCATAACTCGAAATCTTTACAACACTGAGTCACGTATTCTAATGTATAAAGTTTGTGCTCGACCTCTTCTAGAATATTGCACGTTTATTCTTCGCAGTGCTCTCATAAAGGATAAATTAATGCTGGAATCAGTACAGAGACGATTTACACTTCGTATTTTTCGAGCTGATTGTACCTTAACTTATAATTCTAGATGTAATAAACTTGAGCTAGACCCTTTATGAAAGAGAAGACCAAAACTCAATCTTACCTTTTTCTTCAAACTACTTCATAAACTATCGTTTGCATCCAACCACATGATTCAATATGCAGAAACTTCTCATTATGACGTCCTCAATTCCTTGGCACTAGTGAAACAAACATATTCTAAATCATTTTTTTATATGAATTACATTACCTGTAAATTTTCTAGACTCTAGAATAACCTACCGCAATCTATCCGTACAATAAAATCACTCCCATTATTTGTTCGCTGCATCGATGCATACTGCTCCTCTGAAAATGCGTTGAGTGTTCTATCACCTGTAAGTGTATCTCATTCCACAAGTAGTATTATAGGATCTTTAAATGTTTAGCCATCTTTATTAGTGAGTTCCCCAACTAAAACCACCTACTTGCTGTCGCTTTATGTTAACACCGTCCCTAGCAAGTTTAACTGATTTGAATAACATCAACAGTATACCACTGTGTCACACGACACACGCATTTAGGTAGACCTGATTGAAATATTTTGGTAATTACTGCTTTGTTGTTCCGTACTCTGTGTTTTCGTTTTAATTTCTTTAGTTGTAGATAATTATCATTAATTGGATCTGGCACATGAAATGACCTTAATTACTCCGTTAATAAATCAACATGCTGTCCATTTAAGGAATAATAAAAATTCCCGGCTAATGCATTGGATCGCTGTAATATATGTACTACTTAAACAACTACTGAACTAGTATACTTAAAACTTTCTTTTATCACATATTTGTTCTGCACCTCTAACGTTACTATTTATATCAAATTGATCATGCTTGTATACTGGCGTGAATTCTGTAATTATTATTTTCAGAATATCAATTATTATTATTATCATTATTAATTGATGTTTGTATATCAAGACTACCGTCTTCTACCAAATTGAGTTAATTTCAGTTAAAATATTACCAAGGGTGTCCTTATTTTTCGGAAAAGTATTCTCTGCATCAGAACTGTTGTTGAGTACGAAAGTTTCTCTTTTTATAACACTTTTTGGACCTAATCGTTTAGTTATTTGCTATTAGACCTACCACTTTAATCTGTATAGGTAAATAAATTCCTGAGATAAATAGCTCCGTAAGTCTTTGACATTTGATATTGACTTGATTAGTTTTACCGGACACACTTTAGCTGGAGGTACTTGGTCACGCATCCGCAACAGATCACGAGTGGGTAGGCCATGCCACGCGTCCCTAACAATTAATGACCAGCTTAGACCGAACGACTAGACACGTCGATAGCTTTCCAAACATATCTCCGAACCTCTTCATTTCTGACTCCTTATTTCACTGGGCTAGTATACTCCGAATGCCTGTGGCACCTTTGGCGGTGAGCCCGACGTGATCTGGTACACCAAACCGTAAACTGTGAATTTGTTCCTATTTGGAACATTACATGTAGTTTTTTAATTTTTATCCTCACATATAGTGATGGTGGTTTGACACTTTCGGATATTCTTTCTCGCCCATCTGTATGTCTTATGTTTGTCATGACGGAACAGATACCTATGCTGTCTGAGATCATAACGTTTTCAATGCCCTCATTTCAGCTGATGCTGTTTTAGACTGACAACATTGGAGCTTGGTTCTATCGGGCAGAAGCTGATTTATACGAGCACGGCATGGCAAGCTCACACGCACAGTTCCTCGCAGTAGTGAGGGTACTGCCGCAATTTCAAAAGTTACGTCACTTTTGGTATGTTTACTAGAGATGCATTGGAACATTCTGAAACCTCAAAGAAGGTAATTCTGAAGTGTGAAGATTTAACCGACCGATAACGAGTGGACCAACTCTTCAGCAGCAGCGATCTGCAACACTGCTCGGCAACAGACATGTTACTACGAACGCGACAGGTCATTGGCAAACGGATCCTTGACGAGGGCCCATTTAGACGGCTTTTCCTGTCTCAACTTCACCAAACGGTGCAGGCAGTGCTTCTCTCATTTCAAAACAACTTTGTAGACGAACTAGCTGCATATAAAAACCGGACTCTGGAGATCATCAGAGCTCAAAGCTCCGATATTTATTCTGTCAAAGAAATCCTCAAGCAACACAAAATGACATTTCAGATCTCTGTTATGTTCCGATTCGTTATCATAATATTCACCGTAATCTTAGATGCTCCCAAACTCCTGGAAGAAGCTCGTCACGAAAAAAATCTGTCTCTTGACTTCAAGAGATAGATAATCCTGTCTGGTGATCGTACCGTGATAAATATGGTAAGTCTTTTAGAAATTGCAAAAAACCCTTCGGAAAACTCCACTGGCACGCGCTAACTGCAACCGTGGTCGGTGGATATACCCGTGGTGATGAAACTTC